CAAAGTTCTGGGGGGAAATTTTATTTATTTTTTTTTTTTTGCAGTTTTTGGCCAGGGCTGGGTTTGAACCAGCCACCTCCAGCATATGGGGCTGGCACCCTACTCCTTTGAGCCACAGGCACCACCCTAGGCAAAAGAGATTAACTGGCAAGTCACAGGAAAACAAATGCATACATGTACAAATATCCTGTTAAGGTACAAACATTTGGTTATTCTTACTCTTAAAGATGTGCAAACTAAGATAACAATGAGATGCTTGTTTTCATCACTTAAATGAACAAAGAACAAAAAGTTTGAGAACATGTAAAGATGGCAAGGGTGGGAGGAAATGGGCATTTACACACAGTGCTGGGAAGTGAGAACTGGCTGGGCTAACATTTACGAATTTAAATAAAAAGATGAGCCAGTGAACTTAAGTAGCAGCAAGGAAGGAGGGGATGTAATGTACCTGTGCCCTTCTTGCAGACATAGGGGAGGTTATAGTTGCAGGGAACATCATTCCAGCGCCCACTCTCATGTGCCACCATCACCACACAGTCCTCTCCACCCGCGAAGAAATTGTCCGGCTGGTTCTCCCGCCAATTCTCATATTGCTGCAGGAAAAGGAGGCCAGGGTGTTGTTCAGAGGACTCCTGTCTCAGCCTAGGTTCTAACACTGCCTGCCCTGGAACTCCCCTGGCCAAACCCCTCAAACTCATAGAAATTTAGTGTTCCCATTTCTACAATGGACACTAGCCTTCCTGTCCTGAGTGTGGCCACCACTGTAATCCAAGCCACCCTCCTCAGGCTGGGAAGCTTCAGGGTCTTCCTCCCTCCAGTCTTGCCCCACCCCTGTTCCATCTTCTACAATGGGTCATTACAGATCAATAGTTGGACAAAAGTTGACCTCAAACTGGAAGTTCAGGAGGGCCTCCCTGAGGAGGCAACAGAAGTGAGGACTCAAGAACAAGAAGAATCCAAGGCAAACCTGTAATCCTAGCATACTGGGAGGCCAAGACAGGGGATTGCTTGAGCTCAGGAGTTCAAAACCAGCCTGAACAAAGGGGAGACCCCATCTCTACTAAAAATAGAAAAATTAGCTGAAGTGGTGGCACATGCCTGTAGTCCCAGCTATTTGGGAGGCTGAGGCAAAAGGATCATTTAAGCCCAAGAATTTGAGGTTTTTGTGAGCTAGGATGAGGCCATGGCCCTCTACCTAGGGTAACAGACTGAGACACTGTCTCAAAAAAAAAAAAAAAAAAAAAAAAAGAATAGTAAGGATCCAGACAGAGAGCAGAGTTCTAAGCAAAGGGAACAGTAAGTTCAAGGTCTCAGAGGCAGGACTGAACTTAACCTGTTTAAGGAACTGAATAGAGGCCAAAGGGGCTCAGGTTGTTTGATGAAGTTGGGGTGTGGTCAGAGTGTGGGTAGCAGCCAGATCTCATGGTAGAGAAGAGGTAGATTTTTAAAAATTTGTAGCAAAATCTATATAGCACAAAATTCACCAGTCTAACCATTTATTTATTTATTTATTTATTTTGAGACAGAGCCTCAAGCTGTCCCCCCTGGGTAGAGTGCCGTGGCATCACAGCTCACAGCAACCTCTAACTCCTGGCCTCAAGCGAGTCTCCTGCCTCCGCCTCCCAAGTAGCTGGGACCACAGGCGCCCGCCACAACGCCCGGCTCTTTTTTGGTTGCAGCCGTCATTGTTGTTTGGCGGGTCCGGGCTGGGGATTCGAACCCGCCCCCTTAGGTGTATGTGGCTGGCGCCTTAGCCACTTGAG